AGTAATAACTCGAATAACAACAGCAGGATAACAGTAATGATTACAGGAGCAACAAAATTAAGAACAGTAATAACTCGAATAACAACAGCGGAATAACAGACAATAACAGGAGCAGGAGAAGAACAGCACGAACACCCCCAAGCAGCCAAGACGAGGACATAAAAATGGCGACCAACAACAACAACAGTCCACTTACTCGCACGTTTCATGCACGAAGACCTGGCCGTCGCCACACTTGACGTGCTGGTTGTTGCAAGGACAAGTGCAAGAGGTCTCGTCCCACATGAAGAGGCCCGGGTTCTCGACCATCTTGTTCTTGCACTCGTTCTTCAGCCCTTGCTTGCACTCGCAGCGGCAGAAGTTGCGGTTGAACACCTGTTGGGGAGGAGGAGGAGGAGGCGTTAGGGGGGGGGGGCTTGTGGGGAGGAGGGGAGGGAGGGAGGGAAGAGAAAGAGCAGTTTCATATATTTGTGTGTGTATGTGTATGTATATATATATATATATATATATATATATATATATATATATATATATATATATATATATGTGTGTGTGTGTGTGTGTGTGTGTGTGTGTGTGTGTGTGTGTGTGTGTGTGTGTGTGTGTGTGTGTGTGTGTGTGTGTGTGTGTGTGCATATTAAGAAAGAGATGGACAGGGATGGACAGAGAAAGAGGGAAAGAGGGAGAGAGAGCAAGACAGACAGACAGACAGACAGAGACAGAGAGAGAGACCGAGACAGAGACAAAGAGAGACAGAGACAAAAACAAATAAACAGAAATGAAATAAGAGAAAAAGAAACGAAAGATTAAAAGAGAAAAGGAAAGAGAGCAGAATTACTATGAAAAAAAAATAACAACAACAAAAAACCCACAATATCACACAGAATCCCTCCACCCCCCACCCCCCACAGAATTTCCCCCCACCCCCCACCCCACAGAATTCCCCCCCCCCCAAAAAAAAAACTTACGAAAGACCTCGACTGACCTTGTTTATGCCACAGCTCTCCTGTGACCTCTCGCAATTGCAGCCACACATGACGTCTTCTTGCACGGAAATATCGACGCACTCGTGTTCCATGAGAGAGTTCAATCTGTGAGCCTCCACCTGCGGAGACAGAGGCGAGGTCAAGGAGGTCAAGAAGGTCAAGGAGGTCAAGGAGGTCAAGAAGGTCAAGGAAGTGAAGAAGGTCAAGGAGGTCAAGAAGGTCAAGGAAGTGAAGAAGGTCAAGGAGGTCAAGAAGGTCAAGGAAGTGAAGAAGGTCAAGGAAGTGAAGAAGGTCAAGGAGGTCAAGAAGGTCAAGGAGGTCAAGAAGGTCGAGGAGGTCAAGAAGGTCAAGAAGGTCAAGAAGGTCAAGGTCAAGAAGGTCAAGGAGGTCAGAAGGTCAAGGAGGTCAGGAAGCCGGCAAAGGCAGACGCGGATAATAAGGAAATAATTATCTGTATCAATATCCTTACATATAATTCTTTACATTTACTTTCCTACGTATAATTACTTATATTTAACATCCTACACATAATTCTATTTAATTTATGTCCAAACTAATGATTCCTTGTTTTAATGGCCAGACATATATACATGTATTTATGTCTATGTATTATTATTATCATTCATTATTGTTTAGGTCCCTCTTTCACAAAAAAAGACACAGTAACGAGAGGAAAGAGAGTAAAAGAAAAACACTAACCCGCAATATTATGGAAGACATATTATAATCAAGTTTCTATCTATCTTTCTCTCTATCTGTCTATCAATAAATCTGTATAAGACTCCATATCAATAAGATTTAGAGAGAGAGTGGATGCAATATCAACGGAATCACCAAACCCGTTGCGTTAGATATGTCAAGATTTCTAGTTACTTGAGTAATTGAAGTGAGTAACTGAAGTGAGTAACTGAAGTGAGTTATTGAAGTGAGTAACTGAAGTGAGTAATTGAAGTGAGTACTGAAGTGAGTAATTGAAGTGAGTAACTGAAGTGAGTTATTGAAGTGAGTAACTGAAGTAATTGAAATGAGTAACTGAAGTGAGTTATTGAAGTAACTGAAGTGAGCAATTGAAATGAGTAACTGAAGTGAGTAATTGAAGTGAGTAACTGAAGTGAGTAATTGAAGTGAGTAATGAAGTGCAAGAGTAACTGAGTGAGATTGAAGTGAGTAACTGAAGTGAGTAAGTGAAATGAGTAACTGAAGTGAGTAACTGAAGTGAGTAATTGAAGTGTAATTGAAGTGAGTAACTGAAGTGAGTTATTGAAGTGAGTAACTGAAGTGAGTAACTGAAGTGAGTGAAAGTAGTAACTGAAGTGAGTAAGTGAGTAACTGAAGTGAGTAATTGAGAGTAATTGAAGTGAGTAACTGAAAGTGAAGTGAGTAATTGTGAGTAACTGAAAGTAATTGAAGTAACTGAAGTGAGTAATTGTGAGTTGAAGTGAGTAATTGAAGTGAGTGAAGTGAGTAACTGAAGTGAGTAATTGAAATGAGTAACGTGAGTAACTGAAGTGAGTAAGTGAGTAACTGAGTAAAGTGAAGTGAAGTGAGTAACTGATGAGTAACTGAGAAGTGAGTAATTGAAGATAACTGAGTAAAGTGAGTAATTGAAGTAACTGAAGTGAGTAATTGAAGTAACAAGTAACTGAAGTGAGTAATTGAAGTGAGTAAATGAAGTGAGTACAAGAAGTGAGTAAATGAAGTGAGTAAAAGAAGTGAGTAACTGGAACTGAGGATGTTACTGTCGTAGATTTGATCATGACTTTGCTGTGTATGTATCTGAGTATCTATGTATCTATTTCTCTATCCATTTTGCTTCTCTGTCTATCTGTCTGTCTATATGTCTATCTATTCATATCTCGTCCTATCTCTATTTCTATCTTTATCTCTATCTATTTATTTATCTATATATCTATTTATCTATCTATCTATTTATCTATATCTATATCTATTTTATCTATTTATTTATCTATCTATTTATTTATCTATCTATCTATTATTTATTCTATCTATTTATCTATCCTATATTATTTATCTATTTATCTATCTATTTATCTATCTATTTTTCCATCTATCTATTTATCTATCTTTCTATATTTATCCATATATCTCTATATATCTCCTCATCCACTTCTATCTCTATCTCACCCCTTCCTTTCCTTTCTATCTCCATTTTCTCTCTCTCTTAAAAAAAAAAATAATAAAAAAATAAAATAAATAAATAAAAAAAAAAAAAAAAATAAAATAAATAAATAAAAATAAATAAAATAAAATAAAATAAATAAATAAAAAAAAATAAAACTCACCGTAATGGTCATGTTTTTCGTCTCTGTGGCCACGCACTCCTGGTCCAGCTGAATACACATCTGCCCTGCACACCTGGGCACTTCCACTACACTGGGGTACACCTGGGGGAGAAAGGAAAGGGGTGTTTGAAGGGAAATAGAGACGACAGAGGTTTCTTTATGGTTATTTTCGAGTATGATTTGTTCATTTTCTTACGCACGCACGCATATACACACAACACACACGCACACAACACAGTGCATATGTATGTGTGTGTGTGTGTGTGTGTGTGTGTGTGTGTGTGTGTGTGTGTGTGTGTGTGTGTGTGTTTGTGTGTGTGTACATGTACATAATCAATGAACTCATACATATCATACATTTCATAGCTTGTAAAGAACTAAAAAAAAAAACATAAGAAAGAAATAGGAATATGAAAGACGCCGAAGGAAATGTGTAGACTTGGAAAAACGCAGGTTCATTTATCAGGGAAAGTCCGTGATAACAGCAACGACGGAAAATACAGTTAACAAACTATATTACAACGTTTTCTACAACCTGTCTAGTTTGGCTTTTGTTTATTGCTTTCTTCACATTCTTCGTTTGTTTAGATGTTTGGAAAAACAGATATTTTCTTTATTTTCTTTATCAAAGTATTTCTTCTTTTTTTTTAATCTTGTATACCCGTTCTTTGGTTTTGTAAATGGAAGAGAGAAGTATCCCCACTCAAAACCCGTTTTCTTTAGCATTGTTCATCCAGCAAATTCCGTTTTCTTTGATCATTCACAATTCAGCCAAAACCCATTTTCTTTTCTTTATCTAATCAAATCTCTGATCTTGAGGATCAAATACCAGTTCCTATGGCTTTGCTCGTCCAGGGAAACCATTAATTCCATGCCAATCTTGATTTTGTTTGGCTTACTCTGTACCTGATCCAAACCCATTTACTTTTACTTCTAAATCTAAACGAAACCCTTTCTTTACCGTTAATCACACACCGAAAACGATTTTTTGAAATGTAATGAACTCATTTCAATTGTTTCTTCATTATTTCATTTATTATATTTATCTAATAAAAACCCATTTCCATGATTTATCTCGACCCAGTCAAACCTCTCCGAATTCCTTCTCTGCTTAGCCAATCAAAACCCTTCGGAATATACTGAAAAGTAATCGACTATATAAACCTTTTCCTAATTCATTTTCTTTCCTTCTCTTTCATTTGTTTTCTTATTTCTTTTCTTTTCTTTTTTTGTTTAGTCCTCCTCTAAACTCCGTTTTCTATGGCTCCGTTTTCTACTTACCCTGTCGAAGCCTTTAGGAACGGGCAGAGGAACAAGTGTTTTTCGGGGCTCCATGCACGAGACCTTTCGCACCAAATCGCGAATATTTCTGTTTTCTTTGCGATCCCAGCATTTTTGGCCGCCATCTGGAAGAAGCGGGGGAAAAAAAATTATAGAGAAAATTGTTTATATTATTTTAGGTTAGTATCCCCACGAGGTATGTGTTTTGTCCCTTATTTTGTCTCGTTTTCTTTTTCCCATTTTCTTTCTTTTTGTCTATCCTTAGTTTGATTATTCATTTGTCTAATTACTTATCTAACTATTATCTATATCCCTTCCTTTCGTTTCTATTTCAAATGACAACACTAAGTAGTAATTAATCTATTTTCTTGTAGCGGAGTTCAACAGAAAGTTTTTTTCAACAAAATTAGCGAATATGAACGTAAAAATA